TCCCTCCCTCTCCCTCTCTCCTCTCTCTCTCTCTCTCTCTCTCTCTCTCTCTCTCTCTCTCTCTCTCTCTCTCTCTCTCTCTCTCTCTCTCTCTCTCTCTCTCTCTCTCTCTCTCTCTTTCATCTTCTGTTTGTTTGTCAAGAGACTTTTCTTGGTCTGATTGTTTGTTAATGTCTTCTAATTTTTTTCCTTCTTTTTCCTTTTTCTTCCTTCTTCCTTTTTCCTTTTTCCCATCTTCTTAACAAGCCCACATTATATTCTTTCTACATTTACACAGGACTGTGTCATGATTGTTCATACAAGGTAAATTATCATCACAAGAGGAGAGAAGTAACAAGAAAGAGAACTAAGTCTAATGCTGATAAACACCGACATAAAAAGAAGCAAAGAAGAGAAAAAGAGGAAGACGAAACATCAAAAGAAGAGACCCAAAGCACAGAGCCAGAGAAAGAGACCGCAGAAAAGGAGGAAGAGAAAGACTCTGAGGATAGCATTTGGAAGGGGCCGGCAAAGGTGGAGGAGGAGAAGAGTCGAGAAGAAGAATTTGAGGAGTATTTGCAGGATCTGTTCTTGTAGGGATGCTTATTTGTACATGTCATTTGTTATTTCTGCTGATCATAACGATACATGGTTAATACACAAGGTTATATCATGAGGTTATCCCTTTCCCATGTTCTTCATATGAATTACAGATAATTAGAGAGACAGCAATAATTTATGCCTGTGACAGATAAGTACATACAAAAACACACAGGAAAAAACCCACTCCCCCATAATCACATCCCTGTGCACATATATTATAATCATTATATATGATTTCACTGTTCTCTTAAATCTTTGGGAGGTTAAAAACTTACTTTAGTCAGTTGCATTGTCAGTCCAGCTCTTCTCACAATATTAGTAGAATATCTGCATTTGTAGGGAATGCTGCTCAAAATGCTATTAACCTCAAAGGCCAAAAGAATGGCAAAAACTTACAAACTATGTACCTGCATACCCCAGCTTAGCATCCACAAAATGATGAACACTTTATTCCTTGTAGGCCATTCTTTTCCTTCAAGTGCTTCCGTTAATCTTTTTTGGGTGTGATAACATGTTCCTCAGTAAGAATATGGAGTTTACTATATAGATAGTGGGCACATGAGTAAATCAATATGCAGTGCTTTCTACAACTAGGCCTTACATTATTTCAGAATGTCAGTTGTTGTTTTTTTCACATATTTTAAAGTTTCCATTTTGATACCAAAGGGTGAGAATTATTGGTCTACTTGCAGTTGAATGAAGGGTTTATTGGTTTTATTTTATTATGATATTTGTGATGTTTGCCTTTTATATTGCTGTTGTAGAAATGTATGAAGCCCTGGAATGAAACTAAGGCTTTTGTACTGGATTGATCATTATTTTCTTTTTTTTATTATTATTATTATTATTGTCATTATTATTATTATTATCATTTACTGTTTCTGTTGAAGTGTTGAGGCAAGACTTCATATGTATGTATAGCAGAAGTACATACTTTGAATGTGTGTACAAAGAAACTATCAGTATTGTCTTCAACAGGTTCGTAATTAGGATATAGGGGTTAAATTTATGAAATATACTTTAGGTAATGAAAAAATATGAACTTTATTTTATTGAATCCCATATATTTATGCATCTCTTTGATTAGTGAAATTAGTACTTGATTTATAGCAGATAGAAAATTATAAGCATATTGTAAGTTACACTGCAGTCACTGCATGAATGAAGTGAATTTGTACTTTACTTTCCTTTTTTATTTTTATATTGCACACATTTTACTTTGGCTCTTTTTATTCCTCAAATATTAATCCACAACTGGATTAATTGGATCCTCTTTTCTGTCAAAAGAGTAGTAAATAAAAACACTATCTTGCATTCTCTCTTTTAAAGGAAATATCCAACTTGCAAGTAAACTAAAAGTGGTTGCAGATCTCCACAAATATAAGTACCTTGGCTTAGTTTAATTACACCCTGTTTATGAGCTTTCGTCTAATTATGAAAGATTCACAGGTATGAAAAGTGCACTTCCTGTGTGAAACTTGTCATGGATTTTCCACTTGCACCAAGGATAGAGGTAAAGCCATTTGCCATTTGTTTAGTCCCCACATATAGAGAAAGACATGAGCTAGGAGAAGAATAGCAGACTAATAGATATGAAGTCCATACCTTTCCATATTTTTTTTTTATCTTCCTTTGTTTGTACAAAAGTGTATTATTGGTACAGCTGCTTCCACAGGTACTGTACTGTACTCCATGTATTACTTTCTGTGAGCATTTGGTGCAGGTCACAGCAATAGCTATCTGTGACTAAACAGGCCATTTGTAATCTAATTATGGACATGAGTGATGGCTATTTATGACAGATATAATGAAGGCAGGCATTAGTATGTAAATGAGAGTAACGGAAAGGCCACCAGATTATGTGAGTAAAGTAATTTCCTGAGGCAATTGCTTAGTTCTAAAACTGGCAATAAAATGACCAGGAAATTCATGGTATTGCCACACAATCTGGAATATTTTTTGCCTCTACATTTTATCATTTAAGAAATCACAGGGATACTGCATACATGAGAGAGTTGACTTCTGAGTGATGCATAGTATTTTCAATAATTTCATGTCAGTGCAATACAGGTTTTAGTATGGCAGAATATTGAAAACTAGAATTATCATATACAACTACTTTAAGATGTGATTACTGCAATGGAACACATGTATCCGCAAGTGTATTGTCAAGAGAGTTTTGGGCAATACTAACCAGTTTATCTTATAAAATCTATCAACATTGATATTCCTTATATATAATATCATTAAGTATTATAGACTTAATATAAACAATATCTTATCCATTCAGAACCCTGACCATCTTATAATAATCATAGAAGAAAATGTTCTCCAAATATTTCTCAAACTATGTGAAAAGATGAGTCAACTTGACAAGGATAATGCCAGGATGACTGAGTTTTGTACTGTATTAAATGTGTTCTATTAACTTACCAGTAAGATGATCAGATGTCAGCCATTGGAGTGTTTCAGGAACACTAAATCAGTGAAAAGGAACCCCTATATTCTCTGAATGCAGTTTTGCAGAAATGTATAAACCAGGTCATGAAGTTGTGAAACATGGACAGACATGGTTTCACATTTTAAAAGTACATATTATTTGATTTATAACAGTTTGCGATAGTGTAGGATGTCGGATTCAGTATCATATTTTAAAATTTGCTATAAATTACAGTTCTGTAATGAATTAATCTAATCAGCATATACCAAAGTGTGTTTGATACCTTTAATCATGTTAATAGCAAGCTTAAACATTCATAAATGTATACACAAGTGCAACTAAGTCTTAGTAGATTGCATGGCCATCCATAATTCCTGACACAAATGGTAGTTTATTTGCAGTCCCTTAACAACATTATTGTTGTGTACTCTAGTTGCTCAGCCTTAGTTTTCGTTATAACTTGCCAGAATTAGATTTTACAGGTATGATAGTTGTAGGACTTTACCATATCTAACTGAAGCCAAACATGGATGAGTGAACTAATTTATGTAAATGATTTATTAAATTTAAAGTTGAATAAGTGTGATGAGTATAAAATATTTGCTTTGTGTACCCTGGCTCTCGAGATGTGATTTTTATTTTGAATCTCTAATGGGAGATCAAATATTGTGTGGTTTGATGCATTGCAAGCTGAGCATCTAAAGGATTTGTCTGGCTACATTAACTCTGTTGATCATTCATCTGGACAGTTTCCTTTCAAGATGCAGTTTCCCATTTTCAATTCAATGTGCTCTTCACTGGTGGGTCAGACCTGAAGAGAAAATAGCTTTGGAGCATTCTTCTGTTTCTGTAGTGGTCTCTCAGTAATAAGACATGCAGTACTCATCTGTATTTTTGCCAAAGGTTCTCATTACTAAAAAAAAAACAGAGAGGGTCAGATGATGCCTGATATATATTGCATGTTCCGATGGCAACAAAGAAAGAAATTGAAATATATATATATATATATATATATATATATATATATATATATATATATATATATATATATATATATATATATGTATAGCGAGAGAGAGAGAGAGAGAGAGAGAGAGAGAGAGAGAGAGAGAGAGAGAGAGAGAGAGAGATGAAGAGACAGACACAGTCCATACATATATGCAAGAGAGCGGAGGTAGTCATGATCACTATCACAAAATTATTCTGTTGCAGACATTCCTTTATGATTTTATAACTATAACATAAAATGTTGAAAGTTTGGAACTGTTCTTTTCTTTGTTTGTCCAGACGTGTTTTGGTTAAGGTATATTTTCTGTTACATATTCAGACATTATATTGCTCTTGTTGCTCCTGCTATCGTCTTTGTCGTCTTTGTATCAACACCCGATAGATATGCGTTTTGCACCCATGCGCGCACGCACGCACACACACACACACACACACACACACACACACACACACACACACACACACACACACACACACACACACACACACACACACACACACACACACACACATACACACACGCACGCACGCACGCACGCGCGCATACAGAGAGAGAGAGAGAGAGAGAGAGAGAGAGAGAGAGAGAGAGAGAGAGAGAGGCAGAAAGGCAGATATACACATGTTCTTAAAGGAGCGATATCCTTAACAAATTATCTTGTCATTCCCTCTTTGCCTTAAAAAAATGGAATAATATTTAGGTTTTAAGTTCGTGATGCTGATTATGTCTGCTTTTCCGAAATGTAAGAACGGAAGAAATGCTTTATATAATCACGGAAGGGCATTTTTTCGTAAAAGAAACGACGAGTTCTGAATGAATTTGGCGTTTTTTTCCAAATGTGTTAATGTTCCTCAGGGATATTAATCAAGCAATTGATTCCTTTGCGCATCTAATATCACCTTTATGTTTATTTTTTATCGAATAAACAATGCGAACATTGCGGACTAATTTGTAAATTATAGCGCAGATGCTTCGAGGCAATGTCCGCATCTCTCCTGAATTGTGCTTTACAAGGAATTTACAGTTAGTATGAGGATAAGCAAACTCAGGGGGTTATAAATGACCACATAAATGATGCATCTAGAACCACACCGGACAATAGGCCATGTTGGTCGATATAGAGTTATATGTACCATGTGTCTTCGGGAAAAAAATCTAATTTCAGAATAGAGTAAAAGATAACCAAACTTAGCAAGTTTCAAAATTTTACTGACTTCACGATTGACAGATTTCATATCGCATACTCTATAGTCTGCAAGATGTAAAAGAAGAAGAAAATTAAACGATATATTATCTGCACCTCCCATTTACAAACACCTTCGGTTGCCTAAATATGTTTAACGAGGTTTACGTATAGATGCTTCTCAAGACACACTAAGGACTCTATGGAGAAAAGCTGCAAGATGTTAATTCTATACTTATAATTTTGTAAGGCGAGAAAACGTTGTATTGCTCGCCCTTACCTGACAAGGGGAAGATACCATGAACCTAATTATACCACGTAAATTAAGATTTGAGGCATAGCTACTTGACTCCAGGGCCAAATTTAAACATGATGTAAGTTAGTGCCTAAGGCTTTATATTAAAGAAGGTAAGATAGCTGCCAATCTTCCGTGGCATCTATTTGTGAGTTTATGTCGTACTTTTCAGTTGAGTAATAATTTTAGTTCGAGGGAAACTGTTTTGTAGTGTTCTTCAAGAGTCTAATTCTCATTAAGCCACTTTTCTTTCTTACTGCAGGCAAGACCTCTGGTCCTGTTTGGTTTAGTCCCTAGACAATTGTGAAAGGGCAAGCTCAGTTCCCATTCTCTTTTTTTATCTAATCAGCTGTTAATCATAGATTGCCACTGTTATCATATAAAAACGAGGCAAAAAAACACTATCAGTCGGGTGCAATAAAAAAAACTCGTCCGATAAGAAAGGAGAAGTTGGTTATATTTCGCGTTTCGTGTAATATTTTCGGTTGACGTAGAAATCATTTCCGCCCGGATGAGATCGATCAATGTTACTACGAAAACAGATCTCGTTTCGTAACAACAAAAAATAACAAGAATGAAGTGAGTTAAATGAAACTCAGGCAAAACGCTTCAATGCATCTCTGATCTTTCCCTGATACTTTTCTACAGTCCTTGTTACACGGTGACCTCCCGACTAACTGTACAAAAAAATGGCAGAAAAGATCAGTGTTTAATCAGAATTCTAGTATCAACTACAATCCTACTAAGTGCAGCAACGAATTAGACTTGGGGAAGCGACTGAATTACCCCAGCCTCGAGCCGCTCCTCTGTGCTGGAATACGAAGGTAAGATATTAAACTAAGTCAGCTGTAGTTATCAGTGGGTTGGACAGTGTATGTAATGTTTTTTCTGTGCATAGATATCAGCTATTGTCAATAAATATGAATAAGACTGAACTGTGTTCTCATTAAATCGGAATTTCTCTTTTTACTTCTTTATCCCTGTAGGCTGTATTCGTGACATTCGGCCAACGAGAATCGTGGGGATTCTCCTTGAATCAATCGGCACACAAAGGCATGAAATAATTGATAAATTCGAAACATACAGTAGTAGGATAAAATTTAGGTTTGCAGCGTCAATTAGAACTGTCGATCTAGGTTCATTCCTTTTCTTAGCACTACGCATTTTGTCCAGGATATCTTTAGGTTATAGGCTGCTGATACACCCCGTGTTTGTGCAGTTGACGGAAGATTCATCAACAGCATTCTGTGGTGACTAAGGAATTGCCTTGCATCACAATCGACAGACCTTAGTAAATGTTGCAAACCACAATAAGAGGTGAATGAGAATATGCACCAAATAGACAAAATTATAAACAGAAGAGGTAACTATAGTGCTAGTGATATCAGTGCGGGTAAGATACTTCAAAGGGAAAAACCGGGTGCAACTGAAGTGCTATGAAGATCACTCATGGGATATTAGTAGAAAAGAAAAGTCAGTGACACATCTATTAACTTCAATTATCACTTAGTAGCCTAACGTTGGGTCAGTTTAGGTCATGCTTGTGGAAAAAAAGGAAACAAAGAAACTTGTTTTCAAAAGACACCAAAGATATCAATAAGATGTGAGTAGAATGTCTTTCAGAGAGAGAGAGAGAGAGAGAGAGTTCTCTAGTAATATATGGAAGAATGAGGCTACCTGCTTGAGTCTTTCGTGATAAACATAGTTCATGGCAGTGTGGAAGGTGTGTTTCAAGCTGACGCCGGTCTCCTGGGAAAAAATGCAGTAGTGAGTCAAATCTTGCATGGTAATATCACCGACAGCTTAAGAATGGAAACAATAGGTCTGCGCCTCCCAAAACGTCTCGTTGTTTTTCTGCTCAGCGTTTGCAAGGAGTATGTCAGAGTCATCATTCCGGTGTAGCAGGACCCCCCCCCCACCCCGAGACTGAAATTCTCCCCGGGGAAAATGAGTCTAGACTTCATTCCCTCCGAGGTGTAACAACCTGGACAGTT